CAGGGACTGACTCCGCCCTTGTCCCGGATACACTGAGAGCAGAACCACCAGTAAGTGATTAGCCGGGTTGTAGGAACTCGTGGGGGGAAAGGCTGCGTGCAGGAGCCTGGAGCCAGGCCCGGAGGCCGCCCCCACCCCGGGGTGAGCGGCCGCAGTCAGAGCCAGGACCCGGGGACCAGGGCCCTGCTTATTCCTGAAGCAAATATACTTAATCCCCTTTCTGCACGCTAGGAAGCGGAGGTCCCAAGATCCACCGACTGACTGCCTTGGGACAAACTAATAAATGGCAGAGCCAGGCCTCAAGCCCAGGTCTGACTCAAACTCAAACTCAAAGCCGCACCCGCCGTCAACACTGGACGTGAAATCGAGGGCTGCACAGGACGCACATGCAAGTCCCGTCATTAAGGGGGAAGCTTCTCGGGCTTAAAGTGACCTGTCTCGGGGGTGACCGCAGACAACCCCCTCCCCCACCCCGTGCAATTCATCCGGATGCTGGTTTGATATTCACACTGCACCTCTCTCCCTTCCCGTCCTACCGCGTAAAAGGCCCTTTTCCCTAACACACGGGAGCGCACATACACATGCGACACAACATCCAAGCCTGACGTGCGTTCACACCTGGGTACGGGAAAGATCCCGATCTCTTATGTCCTCGGGACGATAGCATGAAAACAGATCCTGTGACTAACACCGGAACCAAAAGGCAGGGGGGGGAGTTCTAAAGATAGATTTAAGACGGAGACCGAAGCATCAGCAAACAGGTGTCGGGCAGGAAGGTCAAGTGAAAGGCTCTTACTAAAAGTAACCCACAGGGACGCCTGGGTGGCTCAGTCGGTTAAGCGTCTGACTTCGGCTCAGGTCATGATCTCACGGTTCGTGAGTTCGAGCCCCGCATCGGGCTCTGTGCTGACCGCTCAGAGCCTGGAGCCGGTTTCGGATTCTGTGTCTCCCTCTCTCTCTGCCCCTCCCCTGCTCTCAAAAAGAAATAAACTTAAAACAAATTAAGAAAAAAGTAACCCGCGTCTCAAAGTTAGAACATGCGTCAGTCACTCTGCCCAACTGACTCAGGTGTTCCCGTGTCTTCCTCTGGGTCACTTAGCGTCCAGGGTGGCATCGTGTCCACACACCACACCTAGAGCTTGTCCTGGCTGATGGCCATGGACAGTGCTTACCCCCCCACCCCCCAGGCCTGTGGCAAACCCAGATGCAGACGTCACGTAAGCCGCAAGGCGGGAACCGTCTGGGCCCATCTGACAGACTCACCTACAAAACCCAAGTGACAGAAACGGGTCTCTTCCGACAGCACCGACAGACAAAGGCTTTCGTAAAGATAAATTACGGACAAGTATTTCCAGGGGCAGGTTTCCCTCAGAGTTAAGTGCAAGGGAAGGAAGCCAAGACGGCTGTTAGGTTCAGTGCCTCGCTTCGGCACAGTGGCAGGGGAGAGAGTCAGGTTTTGTTTTTAAGTTAGTGCGATATTTTCAAAACGTGAACACCTCGTAAAAAACCAAATCACACGCCGAGGCTGGTACGCTCTGCGGAAGGGGCTGGTCTCCTCCACTTGTGAATCCATTCTTCCAGCTCTAATGAAATAGAATGGGGCGCTGGGGTTTATAGGCAACATATATTTGGTTGTCACGCGGTTCCTAAAAATACCCTTGTTAATTTGCTTTCCAGGAGCTACAGGGACATCATTTTGTTATCACGTTTCGTGTTGTTCCCAGTTCCTGAAATAGCTCCAGATAGCAAAGGTTGAAATGGGCGTTTTTCGGATTCGAACGAACCAGTTTGTGCTAAAGGCTGAGCGGTGGCTGGGGCTCCTGGGTGGCCTGGAGGGGGCTGGTTGAGGGAGGAACCACTCAGCGATCCCAGGGTTGGCACTTTCAGCCCCGCCCACTCTCTCTGGGGAGGAGGTGGGGCTAAAGGGTGGAATCAATTCACCCATCAGTGGTCCACAATTTAATCAGTCGGTACCACGTGAGGAAACCTTCATACACCCTGAACTATGGGATACGAACTACAGAATTCGGGGAGCTCCCGGGCTGGTGAACACACTGAGGCGGGGAGGCCGGTGCACCCGGGGAGGGCACGGCCGCCCCCACCCCTTCCCCGCACACCTTGCCTTATGCCTCGCTTTAGGGGGCTGACCTGGTGGCAGCCCCCGTGATGAATCGGTAACGTAGCAGCGAAACTGTTTTCCTGAGTTCCGTGAGCCACTCCGGGAAATTAATCAAGCCCTCGGAGGGGTCTGAGAGGTGGTGGGAACCTCCAACTTACAGCAGGTAGGTCAGAAGTTGTGTGTGACATTCCCCGGGCACTCGCGGCCGCCCTAAAGCTAAAAAAGGAAAGCACAAATGGTTACCTGATAGAGATCGCGGTCCTGCAGGACAGGAGGCTCCGTCAGTCTGCAACTGTTTTAACGATTTACGAGAAAAACAAGGCAAGCTCCAGAAACATATGAGCCTCCGAGCCTCCGTTTCCTGGAGCCCTAACGTCACCCTCCCCTCCAGAGTGATGTGGGGAACTAAGGCAAGAAGAAAATGTAGATAAAATTACGTGTCCTTGTAACCTGCAGCGCACTGACAGATACCTGAGGCAAATACAGAGGAGAACATTCCTCCAGGAAGTCCCTAGGGTCTTAAGGTTAATGCTTTGCTTGCTGGAGGGAAAAAAAACAATCTTAGCTTGACAATAGCAAAGGCTCAGGTATCCTAGGAATCCTCCTTAGCAATGAGAGTCCTTTTGTTTTTTAAAAGTTTTAAATGTTTATTCATTTTTGAGAGAGAGGGGGCAGGGGAGGGGCAGGGAGAGAGGGAGACCCAGAATCGGAAGCAGGTTCCAGGCTCTGAGCTGTCGGCACAGAGCCTGACACGGGGCTCGGGCTCAAGAACCGTGAGATCATGACCTGAGCTGAGGTCAGACGCTTAACCGAATGAGCCACCCAGGCGCCCCTGAAAGTCCTTTTGGAGGCCTCCCTTTGGCCTTCCCACACCTCCCCTAACTCTGTGGTATAGAACCAGTCACGCCTCACGACCCCAGTGCAGCTTTCTGCCCAGGGTCCTGTCCACGTGCTTTAATAGAATCACCTTTTCGCACCAAAGACGTCTCAAGAATTCTTTCTTGGCCGTGGGCCCCGGAGCCCCACCGTCACTTCAAAAGCGCATCAGTGGGGGCGCGGGAGGGGCCGTCTCGCGGGACGTGGGCCCTTCACCCGTGGGATCCGACGCCATCTCCAGGCAGATGGTGTCAGAATTGAGTTAAATCGTGGGACACCCAGCACCAGCCGGAGACGCGCAGAATCACTTGGGGTGGGAAAAATCCCCCCGTCTGGGGTCCGAAGTACCGTCCGAGAGTGACGGAGAAGCAGGGCCCCTCTCCCTCGCGAGACACTCCTTAACCTTTCAAAGAAGTGCCTTTATTTATTTACAGGGCTTACGAAAGGAAAAAAGCTCTAGAAAAAAGGAAATTTCAAAATAGGCCCGGGTGCGGGGAGCATTTGGGAGGGTCGGGCTGCGGTCTTCTGCGCCTCCTGGTGGTCACTTCCAGGTTGTGAGGACGGTTCTCCCCGAGTCTCTCGATCGGCCCCCTCTGGGCCCCAGCGACTGGCCCTGGCGACTTCTCAGCTCCCGGTCAGCCCCGTCGCCCTGCGCCAGCTCTTCATCATAGCTGGAAACAGAGGGACATCTTCAGGGTCCAGCAGCAGCAATGCCACGCACGGCCACTGGCCGCTGAGCGGCGGCGTGGCGAATCCCGCAGCAGCCAGGGAAGCGGCCCGGCCCCCACCCTGCGCTCCCCCAGCCCACCAAACCCTGCCCGAGGCCACAGAGCGCAGGCGTGCTGCCTTGTTAAACTGTTTTCGGGAACAGCTGACATCTTATAAAAGGCTACCAGATGGAACGGCGCAATGACCCCAAGGGAAACATGAGTGAGACACCAGGGTGGTGAGGGAGAAAGCTGACTTCCGGAAACATTTTTACGCACAGCATCTGGGGGCAGGTTATGACTGACCCCGGTTGAGATCGGGAACAGGGTGTGAATGACCCACCCGGGAGGAGGGGGCCAGGACAGGGAGAGGCTCACAAGAAAGCAGGGCCCTCCCAAGAAAGGCTAGATCCCGCCTCCACCAGCCTCGACTTACCCGCCCCTCTCCATTAACATTCACGCACCAGGCCTGTGTAGGAAAGTGCATGATCTGTGTAGGCAACAGAGCCTGGGCTTTCGCCTTGCAAAGAAGTGAGCTGGGACCCTGGACGCGCCCGCCCGATGATGACATCTATCGGGGCAGTCCCTGGCCCCTCTCGCCACGATGAGCCCCTCTTACGGGGTCCGTGAGGGTGGAGAAACCCCACTGCACCGCTTGCCAGCCCTGGCAGGTGAAGGCTCTGGCCAACGAGTTCTCCTATCCCCACCGTGACTTCACATCACCCTCCTGACTCAGAACAGCGGGACTTATGATCCCCACGCCCTGACTGAGGACCCTCTGTGATAAGCAGACATTCATGCCAAATGCGACAGAGACTAAGATGCTGAGTTATGTCGGGTTGGCTGAATTTTGCTCACTTTGGGAAAAGGGTATATTTCTGTTAAATGTTGATTCCCAGAATCAGAATCTGCACGTCGAGTGTGCTGTGGGACAGAAGCTTCTCAAGCTTCTGTCAGAGACAGAAGACTATGCAGAATATAGTCTCTGCATCGTGCTTCTGGTGGCAAACTGGGGGCTGAGAAGGAAGGGCAAGGAGGGGGAAGGCCAGTTTGTTGGGCTTCTCTCTGTCGGGATGGGGATCAGGGCAACAACGGGGGACCCCCGTCTCCCCCGTCTCCCTAAGGAGAGATGATGCCGAAGGGAGGACTCCCCAGGGACGCTGGAGGGTCCGCGTGTGGGGGGGTCCTCCCAGGAAGCCTCCCGGGCCACTCTCCACCCCAGGGACTGCTAGAGCCCCTGGACGCCCCGTTCGCATGTCAGCACCCACCCGTTGGCACCTGCTGCCGGTTCTGTGCCTGTGCTGCTGACCTAAAGGCCAGAGTGACCCCATCCATCTGGCTCGCAGTTGCCCCAGCACCTCGCTCTGGGGCGGGTGTGCAATGAGAATGTACTGAATGATGGGGGGGGAGACCCACACAGGGATTACCAGTCTCACTGTGCATTTGTGCTGGTGTGTGCAGCTTGCAAACATGACAGAAACAAGCATTTGGCAAGCAGCTGGCATCTGGGACGAGCTGTTCCCAGGGGCGGGATGGCCCCCGATGGAGCTAATGTGGAGGAGAATCAGGCAGGAGGGTTTTCAAGGGCCCCCTCCCATTCTAGCAGGCTTTCCTCCTGGCTTTTTTTTTTTTTTTTT